TAACTGCTCGCTGACCCAAACACCACAAAGGGTGTTGATTGATACAGACAGCTAGACGGTTGTCATGGAAGCCAAAGTCTGCAAAGTAGGAAGAGGAGGAGGAGGAGGAGCAGCAGCGGTGTCGAGCGCATCGGTCACGCAGGATTTTACAGGATTTTTTATTGCAGTGGAGCTTTTGCCGCTCCAGTGCTCCAACCGCACCTCTCACGAACCCCTATGACATGATAGGGGTCACGTGAGACACAACGTATCTCTGCCCAATGGTTGTCATCACCCTTGGACAGACGTATCTCCGTCGAGCTACTAAACCACGTGCAAAAGTTTCTCAGTTGCAATCGTAGAGGTGGCCCAATCGAGGGCGTTTCTCATACGTTGTAGCATAGGGGGTACGCGCGGTCAAACACCTTTAACGGACCCGTACGCGAACCGACGCTCTGGGCGATGATGTCCCAAGCGGGGTTCAGCATCGATCGACTAGGACGAGTCTATCTAACCACACATTACGCCACACAAAAATAAAACCAAGTTTCTCACATAAGTCACGCCTAGTCCCTTTTTGTATTCGCCCCATAATTGTTTTCATAATTATGCGCAAAGGTTGCACGTATGAAACTATACATAAATAGTCGTCGCCAAATAAACATCTATCATAAGTGATCAATCCTGCGTGAATACGTGACCAATCGTGACAACAAAGTTATATATAGTGCTCATAAACATGCGACCCACATTAAGTCATGGGATTGCATTCGACGCTCATGTGTTTAAGGGGTCAATTCACTAGCGAACGCATAAGTGGACAGAGCATCCTGCCATCTTCTGCACCCTGCATAGGAGAGTGGTAGGTGGGCATTGACCCTTTGTGGGGACTAAACAAATCCGACTCTGTGCATAAGGCTCCATTATCCAGGTTCTGAAAACAGGTCAAGGGGTTTGACTTTGATAGCCGCCACAGACCTTAATGTCAAACTAAAAAATCGCTAAGAAGAAGAAGGTAAAAGAGAATTTTCCTTTTCTCTCAATACAGATCTGCTTGATTTTTTCTCATACTCATAATGAACCGCACGAATACACAAAATACAAATATAAAAGGGTTATAAGATACAGAACGATTACTCTCACAATTATAGTGTGACTTCCTTCAAAATATACACATGATCGCAGACAAGTTAAATCCAGAGTTCGAACCACAAACATACATGCAATCATATTACAGATTTCACATTGGCAAATAACGCATCACACGAGGTCAACTTTAACCACTCTCTGCATTCATTCCGCTTGCTTTATCCACACAAGCTCCAACCTTTATCCAACCTTCCAAAATAAAATACTTTGTCCTTTTTAAATGGCCAATTGATAAAGTCCGCGTAAAAATATAATGAGAAGAATTCAACCCATAGGGGCTAAGGCCTTTAGCTTGAGTAGCGATAATGAGTTAGAGTTGAGGCGAAAACCGAAAGATTTACAACTAATCTGTTTTAAGAAGACAGTAGAAGATGATCCTCGTAGAATCGGGCTGAAACTAGTCAAATCTTGAATCGAAATGGTCGAAAAAGAACTTGTAACACAACATAGGCCAATTCCCAAAACTAAGCTATAAGTGCATGAAGAATAAACCCCCATATCACATCTCACCCAAATGTTTTCCAAGACTAAACCTAAATTCACCTTCAAGTGAGTGCTAAGAAAATAGAAAACATTTTAACAGCATCTCCCTTACACAGGGTGAATTGCCAAAACTTTTCTTATCAAAATATAATCTAATGCTCGAAACCAAGAAATTTTTTGCAACACTCCATTTAGAGAAAGTGTCTTTCTATAATTTATATTTGACTGAATATGAAATTTGAAAACGATCTTTAACTTTACGAGTTAAATTTTGTCAAACTCTCCGATTCAGTAAACATTTGGGCAGCATCTTCATTAGAAAAGTAGGTTTCTCAAATTTATACTGAGTCGGATATGACCTCAAGATAAAACTCAAATTTTGCCAAGATAAAATTTAAATAACTCTTTATATTTTTAAAAGTGTTAGCAACACTTTCCCTAGAGAAAGTGTCATTCCAAAATTTATACAAAATTAAATATAAAATCTAAAAATAATTAGGACTTTACAAAGCCGAATTTTGTCGAACTCACTGATTAAGTAAAATAATTGGGCAGCATTTCCCCTAGAAAAACACACTTTCCAGATTTCTACCAAGCCAAATATAAAACTCAAACAAAAAGTTGAATTTGTGAACACAAAAAATTGGGTTTGCAAAAATTTAGGCATCACTTCCCTTAGCGAAAGTGTCTTTCCAAAATTTATACAAAATCAAGTATGAGAATTAAACTTAACTCATAAAATGCAGAAATTGAACTAACTCCTACAGCTTCAGCACATGACGAGCATCTAAAGCAACTACCTACCAAAGTTGAAACTTTGACTAAGTAGAGTTTACACTCAACCACATGCAAGTCCATACCACAATGGGTAAGGACTCTCACAAAAAAT